TTTTTTAAATTAACAATTATAGTTATACATTTTATACTTAACATATATATACATATGTATATATAGATCCATCAAATATATTATATACACTACAATATTAAATATTTATTTTAACAAATAGCAATTATTTATTGTAAAAAATAAAAATAATTACTAATAATCTATAAAATTATAAATATTAATTTCTATTTAATTTTATATTCAATATTTTACAGAATAAATCTTTTAAACTAATTATTATTATTTTGATTTACTGTATAAATATATATATATAGACTATTGAATCTTATTGGCACTGATAAACAATTGACATACAGTACATGTATATCATATATAATATCATATAAAATTATATATATATATAAATATATATTTATTATAGTTTCAATGTCTTAATATCAAAATCAATTTATTTCAAAGTTCATTACCTATATTAATAGTTATATTAATATTTGATAATATCATGCAATTAAATAATTTAATAATTAATTTAATAAATATATAAAAATTATTTTATTGAGAAAATAACAACTATAATAATTTATTTGATACTAAGTTTAGATATATATTATGAATACTAAATAAATTATTTACAATACAAAAAAATTATCTCTTTTTCTATATTTTGTAATTAAATGTTTTATTATTAATATTTATAATTAGACCGAAATATTTCATAATAACTATCTGATACTAGTAAAAAAATAATAACATTATATCTTAATAATATAATTTAAAAATAATTAATTTATTTGTTAAAATTAATATTGTATTATAAATATGTCAAATTTAATACATAATATTATTAGTATAATAAAAGCTATTTTATTACTTCAGTTAATTTATATACAAATTGTGTTTAAATATTTAAAGAATAAAGTAATTAAATACTTGAATAATGGATCGGATATTAAGTCAATTATTGAAAGCATTGAACACTATATTCAATACAATTACATAACATTTTTCAAAACAATTGACGACCAATACTATAGACGACCCGTTAGTTGGAAACGAATATCGATTGTTATTATATTAAAACTAAGTTTAGTTATACTATTAATTAGAATCATAATTATTTGCACTACTGATGATCCCTATCTATTGGCACTGGTAGGTGATGTCACATATTTGCTGGGCAATAGATATCTAATATCATACATAAATGTGATATTTTATTGTTTTTTATTAACAATATCGACAAACTGGTTATATCAGGACTTGAATGAAAAATATCAAAAATTTTGGTCAATAATCTATTCAATGAAATATAATCGACTAAAATATCCATTAGATTCAAAACACTACAGATATTATTTAATATTTATCAAACTATTGATGGATTTGATGACTAATATATTATTTTATCCAATTGTTTTATATATAATATTATTACATCTAATAGCATCTATTTATATTTATTATTATCAAATAGTATCCATGTCAATTATAGCATTGATTGTATGGAATATTCTAACCATAATATGTATAATACATTCATTTACTATATTAGTCTATGTTATAGTTATATTCTCACTAATAGCTGGTTATTTAGTATTAAAATTTTGGGAAATTTCCCATAAAATTACTAAAATTTATAAATTAGGTAACAGTAGACAACTATTAGATATTATTGCTGAACACCAGTATATTACACTATTGACTGAATCGATTAATAAATATTTATGTTTTCTGGCTTCTCTATGTATTTATCTATATTTTTCACTAATTGTATTGATTTTCTATAGCTATAGTCGACATCAACATGAATTTAATCAATGGTTGCAATTATTTTTCTATTTAAGTGCTTTTTGCCAATTGTTTGTATTTGCTTTGTGTGCAACAATTATAATATGGTTGAACCGTTTAGCTCATCGGCCACTGCCAGTCCTACACTCGTATGTGAATCGTTGGCCAAACCCAAGTATGTCACCAATCGGTAGACTCCGTATTCAGGCATCCATTGAACTACTAACTGATACTACGATTACTATCTATTGTTATGAATTATTTCCGATTACTAGTTATACAGTCTATGAAGTTGTTATATATTTTATTAATATATATTTTCTGTTTATTAGCACATTTGGCTAACAGTTTTTAAAAAATTCAATCAAATATATATATATTATATAATATATAATTGTTTTTAATTATATTTATAAAAATTATTGTTTAATTAAAATAATAAATTTTCTGTGTGTTTACTTTATATATATATGATTTTATCATAATTATAAAATGATTATTGTTATTTTTTAATTTTCAATTTAATTAATACTTTTCAATATAAACAGTGTCCAATTAGACTATAATGGTTTTTATAGTTTTTTATATATATATATAAATTATACAATTTTAAATAATATATATTTTATTATAGAAAAAAATCCATTACTATTGCTATATTGTAAATTAAAATTGTATTAACAAAATTAGTAGTATTATCTAAAATTAAATTAAAACAATTTTTTTATCAGGGTTCATTATTCAATTATAATATAAATTATTTAGTAATTTATTATTAGTTTTTATTATTGATTTTTTTAATTAAACATATGTCAATGAAATTATAATTACTTTATTTTCATACAAAAAATCCAAAATCAATGTTAAATTTATTACCAATAGTTTATTTGCTAATTTATTATTGTAATAATACTAAAAATAACTAATATATTTATATATACAGTACCTGTACAGATATACAGTATATACTATTATATATATATTTAATTAAATTATCAATAATAATAAGTTTAAATGAAAACATACAGTAGTTTTTCAAATAATATTTACAGTGATTAGAAAATAATTTGATTTATTTCCATAAAATAATATCAGAAAATTAAATAATAAATCAAATAAAAAATATATTCAATTTATATTCAGTAAAAAATAATATAATAGACTAATAATTATTAATTAACAATATATGAAATTGTTATAAATAGTAAAAAATATAATAAAATCTATTATATATATTATTATTATTATTTTGTTAGTATTTCTAAAATTTTTATATTGATGAAATAAAAATCATAAAATAATACTTTTAAAATAATTACTATAAATATATTTACTTTATTTAAATAATATTATAAATATGTCAAATTTAATACATAATATTATTAGTATAATAAAAGCTATTTTATTACTTCAGTTAATTTATATACTAATTGTGTTTAAATATTTAAAGAATAAAGTAATTAAATATATTAATAATGTATCGGATATTAAATCAATTTTTGAAAGCATTGAACACTATATTCAATATAATTACATAACATTTTTTGAAACAATTGACGACCAATACTATAGACGACCCGTTAGTTGGAAACGATTATCGATTGTTATTGTATTGAAACTGACTATAATTTTAACATTAATTAGACTCATAATTAGTGGCACTACTGATGATCCCTATCTATTGGCACTGGTATGTGATGTAACACATTTGTTGGGCAATGGATATCTAATATCATACATAATGATAATATTATTTTGTTTTATATTAACAATATCTACAAACTGGTTATATCAGGACTTTAATGTAAACTATCAGAAATTTTGGTCAATAATCTATTCAATGAAATATAATCGACTAAAATATCCAATAGTTGGCAAAAATTACAGATTATTTTTAATATTTTTCAAACTATTAAACGATTATATGATTAATATATTTATTTATACATTTGATTCATATATAATACTATTACATCTAATAGCATCCATATATGCCTATTATTATCAATTAGTAGTAAACATATCATCATTGATATCATTGATTGTATGGAATATTCTAACCATTATATGTATAATACATTCATCTACTATACTATTCTATGAAATGATTTTAAGCTATCTATCAATTAGTTATTTAGTAATAAAATTTAGGGAAATTTCCCATAAATTTCCTTTAGCTAACAAATTAGTTAACAGTAGACAACTACTAATTGATTTAATTGCTGAACACCAGTATATTACACGATTGACTGAAACGGTTAATCATTATCTATGTTTTACTGTATCAATGATTATTTATCTATATTTTTCAGTAATTGTATTGATTTTCTATAGTAATAGTCGACACAACACTGAATTAAATCAATGGTTACGACTATTTCTATATGTAATCGCTTTCAGCCAATTGATTGTATTTGCTATAAACTCATCGATTATCATATGGTTGTACCGATTAGCTCATCGGCCACTGCCAGTCATGTACTCCCTATTGAATCGTTGGCCAAACCCAAGTATGTCGTCACCGATGGATAGACTACGTGTTCAGGCATTCATTGAACGACTAACTGATTCAACGATTACTATCTATTGTTATGAATTATTTCCGATTACTAGTCTAGCATTATATGAAGTTATCATATATTTAGCAAATATGTATTTACTGTTTATTAACAYATTTGGTTAAAATTGACTGATTATTGTAATACTATATTGTTATTTAAATATAATACAGTACTATATATATATATATATATATATATATAAATTTACTATACATATGTATATATATATTTTACTTGTTAATATGTACTGTATATTCATGATACTGTTTATATCAATAAATTAATAATATTTATTATAATATAATAGAAATAGAAATTTTAAATTATATTTTATAGATTTTTTTTATAAATTGTTTTTAATTTCAAATATTATTAACCAGGTTCATTTTAAAAAATTAAATTAATTACCATAACAACAACAGTGATTTTTTATATTAATTTATACATCAAATTGTGTTAATTATTTAATTTTTAAAAATAAATATTATGACTATAAGTAGTTTTATACTTGTGATGATAAATCATAGATATTATTTTGGGCACAGGTAGGTTATTGGCATATAAAGTACATATAGATTTTTATCAATGACTATTTTATTTGCTTAATTTGCTTTTAATAATGTTTTGATTTTATATTGTTTTCAAACCGCGCGCCAAACAAATTAATTAATTAATTATAAAAAAACTAACCGTTTTTCATGAGATGCGGATCGGTTTGGTCCTCGGATTTGATAAAATAGGGCATAACTTCCGGCCAACTCCACCCGTGGGCACCCGATTTGGCCCATTGGTCATAATCACGTTTGTTGCCACGGGTATAGATGTTGGCGTTTAGTACACTAGACCCGCCCAATACCCGTCCTCTGGGCCATAGGCTTCTCTATATTTACAAAAAATAAATAAAAATAAATTATTAATATATTTAATTTTTAAAAATAAAAAATAATTGTAATTTAATGTACAGTAAATTAATTGTAATTTTATAATAATATATTTTTTTGAATTATTAATAACTAATTAACTAAATATAAAATTATAATTGAAAATATATTTATGTATTATAAACTTACTAATTATTATTAAAACTAATTTTTTTAATTAAAAAATTATTAATAGTTATAATTATTATTATAATTAATAGCTATTATTATTATTGTTATAACTAGTTATAAATAAAACACACAAACAAATAGCACAATTAAATCATTAAAAAATCACAATTAATTTATTAAAAAAAATTAAATGTCTATTAGTTAGTGGGAGTTAATATAGAGTTGCACTTATAGCTACAAAATACATTATATTGAGCACAAGTATGTATAAAAAGTCAATGAAATTTAGTTAGGGTTACAAACTTATATTTTTTTTTATTTTAATAAATTATAATAACAATTTCAAACCTTGGTTATATTTATTATAAATATATAATACATTACAGTTTATAAATATTAGAAATTATAATTATTAATTATACAATTAACACAATATGGTTAACCAAATTAAATACTAAACTAAATTTTTAAGATAATATATTAGTATTAATATTATAACCATAATTAAAATAATAATAACTTAATTATATATATAAATTGTTTAATAGTATTTTCTTTTAGTTAATAAACTTTAATAATAATAATTAAGAAAAATAAGTAATAATAATAATACAAATAATATTTTTTATTTTATTGATTGTAACCCAATTAGAGACAGAAAAAATATTATATGATATATTAATAATTAATAAACAAAATAATTTTTTTTATTAAAAATAAAATATTATAATTTATAAATTATAAGTTCAATAGTTTTTTAAATTCAATGTCAATACACTAATTATATACAATTGTATAAAATTATTGATTAAATAAATATTAATAGTTTTTTTTAATTTTAAATATATATATATATATATTCATATTGTTGTTGTTGTTATTGAATATTTAAAAAAAATATTTAGCATATATTTAGCTACTATATTATTGAATAGTTTTTTGTATTTATTTGTTTTTTTGTATTTATTAATAGATTTATTTTTACTTAAATACATTTAAATAAATAATCAATAAATTTTTTTTTGAAAAATATGTTAATTTAAAAAATGTAATTGAAAAAATATATTGATTATTATTATTATTATTATTATTATACTGTAGCTAAATAAACTAGAAATTGTTATTTTTACATAAAATATAAATAAATAAAATGTTTATATAAATGCATAATAATAAAAAAAATTACTTATTTCAATAAGTGTCCTAATTATAAATTTAAATAAATATTTTGATTTTATTATAAATATTTAAATAAATATTTTATTTTATTAAAAAAATACTTATTTCAATAAACATATACTGAATACACTATATATTGAAATTAAGTATTTTTAATAAATAAAAAATATCAAAGTTTTAATAATTGTTTTTTTTCCTAAAAAACTTGACTTAATTTAATTTAATATAGATACTATATATCAAATCTACATGCATATAAAAACATATATAAATTATATACATATATTTATAGCTTTTTAAAAATAAATGTGTTAAACAAATTTATAAATAATAATTATAATTATAATAAATTGTTGACCGTTTGATAATCTTTTTTTTGTTGAATTTACCTATTGTTTAACTAATATATATTATATATATATATATTATTTATCTTTATAATTGATGTATAACTTAATAATAATAATAATTATGATTATCAATTGATAAACAAATATTTTCAAGAGTGCCCACATAGTGTACTAATTTTTTTTATGCATACTAAACATATATTATTTATTATTATTATTATTATTATTATATTAATATATTATTAAATTAGTGCAAACTTTAATTTTAACGGTTAATCAAATAACAATAGCATAGGAAAAAAAATCTTAAGATAAATAATTAAACTTATTTTTATAATACCAAAAAAATATAATACAAATAATATACTGTATAATTGCACCCAAAAATTATTAAAAAAAAAACATTAATACAATCACACATCAAACTGATTTTGATAACTGTAACTGATTTTAATCATTAACTTAAAAAATATGTGTGTATTATATTTAAAATACATATAAATAACAAAAAAAATATTTAAAAATAAATTTCTAAAAATACTTTATTTGAATTATTAAAATAAAAATTTAATCCTATTTTTTTCTGATACAGTTTTTTATTTTAATAATATATCAACAAAAAAATTAATTATTATTAAAAAACAATTTTTATGTTTTGTTTCACTTACTATAATAATAATTAAATGAGAATTTGTATAAATTATTTTTTTATAAATAAAACATTTGACAACTAATATGATTTTAATTAATTATTTTTAAAAATTTATTTGCATATTATTAATATTGTATTATTACTATAATAATTATATATCTATTATGTCAATTTTCTAAATATATTATATATAAATTTTGACAATTAATTAGTAAATTGCGTGCAAATATCATAAATAACTTTATTTTATTGATTTAAATTCATGATATAATAGCGCAACAACAAAAAAATAATATTTTTGCATAAATTGTATTAATTATGTGAAATAATTATGTAAAGAGATTTGCATATAAAATGTATAATAGTTTACAATATAAATAAATTATAGTATTATTTAATTATATCATTTCATATATCTATATATTATATACGATTTTAATGATTGTGCGATAATATTGTAAATAAATAATTATAATTTATGACAAAAAAGTATATTTATTATTATTATTATATTATACTTAAAAAATAAATGTTGCTATAAATAAATAAATTTCAAATCTAATACTACAAATAAATTTATGAGTTTTATTATTTGTATTAATTGTTTGTATTTTAAACTATTATATTATACATTACTTAATTTTTAAAAAAATTACCAAAATATATACATCTATTATCAAAAAAAACTTAATAACATATTTTGTCCTAATAATATATATTAAAAATATTAATTTTTTTGTATACATGACTTATAGTTAAATATTTATTATTTTTATAAATAATATTTTAAACTAAAATATTATTATTATTTATTTTTGTAATATATAAAAACGAGTTAAATAAATTAAAAATGTTTTTATCTTATAATAAATACATGTAATATACATTTTTTTATGTGATATCTAATATCAAAACAAATAAAAACAAAAATAAAAACATTAAACATTATATATAAAAAAATATTACTTTAGATAAATCATATAAAACGATGTCATGAATTTTGTCTTATATTTTTTATTTTTTTATTTTTTAAACTTAATAATAGTTTTATGCAAAAATATTTTCAAGATATACGATATTATATTACAGTTATTATAATATAATTTATTATAATTATGTAAAAAAAATTTTGACACTCATATAACATGCATATAAACAGTGAAAATCTACAAATTAGTTTATGACAATCATATTTATAATAAATTTTTTTTATAGATTTAAATATATACTGTTATGTGAAAAATACTACACAAAATATTATATTATAATAATATGTTATATACGGTAATATCATTGAAAATTTCTATAAAAATAGATATTACAATACATTGTACATATAATTTTTTTATCAATTGTTACCATTGTATTGTATATTATAGTACTTGTAAGATAATAATAATAATTTATAATAAGACATATAATTTAGTAGACTATGTCCACCGGCATGAGTGGGTGAGTGTGTGTGTGTGTATGTATGTGTATGTATGTGTGTATGTATGTGTGTATGTATGTGTGTATTATGTATCTATTATGTGTGTATATATGTGTGTATGTATGTGTGTGTGTCTGTATGTATGTATGTATGTATGTATGTATGTATGTATGTATGTATGTATGTATGTATGTATGTATGTATGTATGTATGTATGTATGTATGTGAGTGTGTGGGTATGTAATGATATGAACAGTGGGTCTCTTATTATTTATAATATATATATATATATATACTGTTTTATGAGTTAACTAAATGCATGGCTAAGCTATTAAATAATCCAATGGTTATCCATTAGTGGTCATTGAAATTGAGAGCTATTTTTGTTTAGACATTAAAATTAATATATATATTAAACTACTGTATTGTTATCTCATATATATTACTTTAAATGAAATAATTTATTACTTTATAAAAATATAACTCCCTTTTGTTTGTGACAAAAATAATTATATAATTATATATTTTATCTTAAAACTAAAATCTTGAAATAAATTTACTTTTAATTATAATTATTTTATTAGATTAAATTAAATAATACATTTAAAAAAATATTGTTTATATAATAAATATTATATATATTTTAAGTACATTGATATAATCAAAAATTTTTTGAAAAAAATAAATAAAATGTAATTATTATTATTATTATTATTATTATTATTATTACATAAAAAAATAAATTAATTTCAAATTAATTTCTAAAAAAATATACAGTATATTATAGAATACTATTAAATTTATTTCTAAATTATTATTATATTTATTTTTTAATATATAAATAGATTTTTTTATTAGTAATTTAATTATTTATATAAGTTATATAACTAATTATATATATATATTATAGTCATATATATATATTGTTAGAAAAAAACATACCTTTTCCTTATGTCCAAAACAAGCGGCCTCTTGAGGTTCGGTACGATATGACCAGTCCATGGGTGTCTGCTGTAGGCTCTGGTAGGCAATRGGTATATCACTGATTAGATTTTCACTGCCGCCAGCCTCCAGCAACAGTACCCTAACCGTTGGATCTTCGGACAGTCGACTGGCCAGTACCGAACCGGCACTGCCAGCACCGACAACAATATAATCGTAGTCCCGGTCCCACGAGTCCCGTTGGACGGGCATTATATTGTCGGCCCGTTTCATAACAAACAGTGTCATCAGCGGCAACATTGCCGGCATTGACAGCGCAACCATCGATGCAATACCCATATTGTGTATATATATATATATACCAGTGTTTAATATATCACTTTTAAAAACAGGGATAAAATTATATATATATATATATATCAATCACTTAATCCCAATATCCAAATGGCTTAACACAAAACAAAACAAAAAAATAATTTAATCCAATGGTTAGTATAATAGATGGTAAGCACCGGTAGGTTGTTGTTGATGTTAAATGACATTAAGTTTTACATTATGTAATAGTTGTTTAAAAATGTTTGTTTGTTTGTTTGACTATCTATTATATCTATCTATTTGTTTGTGTTTGTTGTGTTATAATAATCACATATTTGTTACCATAAATTATTTAATTATTATTATTATTATTATTATTTTGGTAAACACTTTACAACAAGTAATAATTAAATTGTTAGAAAATTTTTTTTTAATAATAATAATAAACTTTATAATTAGTTGTTTAAAGTAGTAATAGTTGTCATTAATTGTTATACAAATATATACACACAAAAAATCCGGTAGTTTTTAATAATAATTATAATAATAATAATATTAATAATATATTTAAGTAAACGCTGTTTTAAAACACACACACAAAACAAACAAAAAATTATTACAATAATTGTTGTAAATATCTATCAAATAATTAAATAAACTAAATAAACAAACAAAACACTGATTATGTGATTATTATTATTATTATATAATATAAAGTTTAATAACAATTGTTACACACAAGTACTGAATATATATATATATTATTTATTATAACTTTTTTTGTTGAAAATAATTTTTTATATAAAATAAAAGTTTTGTCACAATTTATTTATTTAAAAAAAAACTTTAATAAATCTTTTATGTTTGAGTTAACAAATTATTTGAGTTTCACTAATATTTATTAATATTTTATTTAAATCATTATTTTTAATGGACAATAAATTTTTAAAAATTTATTTATTAAACTAAAAAAACAGTCACCGATATAATAATAATAATTATAATAATAATAAAAACACGTTTTTTTTATTTAAAATAAAAAAAATAAATGACTCGCGATATCGTCAATACATATAATATTTTTTAGAGTCGATCGCACATTTGGGAGCACAGGTACCTAATACCTGTCCATCAAAACTAACTATAAGACCAGTTGTTTGTTAAGGGAGCTATTGTTGTATTACTTGAGGGTACGAAAAATAAAACTTTTTTTAGGCACAGTTATGTCTCTTAGTTATCTATTAATGATGTAGTAGTAGTCGTAGTGTTGATGGCCATATGTGCCACAGTTTTTATATACAGTCAACTAACTAATCATCAAACATATACATGGGGCTCAGGTATATACACACTGTATGTACAGTATATCTATCATAAATTGAGTGTACAGTTACACTAAATACAACTACATTACTACTACTAAAATGTTGAACTTGACCGGACCCACACTGGAAAAAATAGTTGTTTTTTAGAGAGAGAGAGAGAGAGAGAGAGAGAGAGAGCACACCTCATACTACTACTAACATACCTGTGCTCATGAGATGCTAAATGTATGTATATATATATATATATGTGTGTGTGTGTGTGTGTGTGTGTGTGTGTGTGTGTTTGTATGTGTGTGTATGTATGTATGTATGTGTGTGTGTATATATGTATGTATGTTTGTATATATGGAAGTGTGTATATGTATGTGTGTGTGTTTGTATGTAAGTGTATATATGTGTTCGTACAGTATGTATGTGTAAGTGTATGTGTGTTTGTATGTATGTGTGTGTGTGTTTGTATGTAAGTGTATATATATGTGTGTGTACAGTATGTATGTGTAAGTGTATGTGTGTTTGTATGTAAGTGTGTGTGTGTGTATGCATGTAAGTTTGTATGTGTGTTTGTATGTAAGTGTGTGTGTGTGTATGCATGTAAGTTTGTATGTGTGTGTGTGTGTGTGTGTGTGTGTGTATTACTTAAATAAGTCGGTTAATTGTATATACAGTATATATATATGTTATATAACACATAAACTGTATATATATAAGTCCTGTCATATACATATATATTTTTTGTGAAGGCATTCAATTGAGTGTTTAATTTTATTTTTCAAAAAATTTTACTGTAAGTCAGATAAAATAAAACCAGTCCTCTCTTTTAGGGTACAGTTATATTATATATATATATATATATATTATATAATATTATATAATAGTATATAACCAAAATTGATTGAGAAATATTTAGTATAATTTCTTATTGATAATATATATATATATATATATTATTGGTTCACTAAAAACTATTTTGTTAAGTAAAATATATATATATATATATATATATATATATATATATATACTGTATATATATATATATATATTGATTTAGACCTGTTTATAGCATAGTTATAAAAATATATACATAAATTATATTAGTGTATATAATACTGTATATACAGTATATTTAGAGCACATGTAGTATGTATTTGCAATTTTTTATGCATATCCCAGTTGTCATCAAATTTATTACATTACAAAAAACATATATATTATATATAAATATATTATATTGTTGTAAATATATTAACACATAAATAAATAATAAAATAAAACTTTGTGTGTGTGTGTCTTCAAAAAATTGTTTTCAAGTGTTTATTATTTTTTTCAATAAAATTTATTTTTTAGTATATTATCATATATTATATTATACAGTATATTATACAGTATAATAAACATAGTAAACAATAACAACAACAAAATTTAACATTTTAAACTTTTATATGATAATATACAAATATGAAACCTAAAAAATTATTATTTATATTCAAACAATAAAAATAATACATTTTCTTCTGTATAGTATGTATGATATGCATGTAGTGTACAATAAATTAATTAAAACTTTATTATTAGTATTATTATAAAACTTGAATTAACTTAAAAAACAGTTTTTATTTTGTGTAATAATAATAATAAATTATAAATATATAATAAAACAGTTTTTTGTTGTTTATATAAGTAAATTACATGCAGACAAATACAATGGAGTTTTTATTTTCAAAAATGTTTTTAATTGTTTATAATATTTAATAAAGAAAAATAAAAGAAATATTATTATGTATTATATACGCTGTTTTTATTGTATATAATGTATACAATGTATGCTTTATTTTAGGCATAAAATATCTAATATATATATACTACAGTATAATACAGTATAAATTTATATACGGTATATAAAAAAAAGTTATAAATTATAACAATAAAAGACTAGTTTTACTATAATATTATATATATATATAAAAAACTGAATTATTTAAATAATAATTGTTTAGCTTTTTTTCTCTCTCTTTCCTCTAGTTTTGTAATATATTCAGTGAATTATTGTATTATTATTATAATAATAATAATAAATATATAGTTTTTATATCTCTAAGGCGTTGACATTACAGTATTTTTTTCGGAAACTTTATATAAATTATATATATATATATATAAACTTTATTTACTGTATTTTTGTATATAGTTTACTGTAAACTACAGTATCATATGATATCATAAATTATTAACAAAAAAACAGTTTTTTTTATAAATAACTCATTATATTACTGATTGAATGTTTGTATATATATATATATATATATATATATGTATATATGTATGTATGTATGCGTGTGTGTATGTATTATATGTGTGTAAGTTAACAATTTAAAAAACTATATATTAAACTATGTAATTGATATCAATTTAAATGTCAAATTATGGGCTAAAATACTATATATTATTAACTGTATATTTGTTTTTTTTATTAAAAGTTTTAATAAATTTTCACAATTTTTTTCCATAAAAATCCCATTTAATAGAGAGATAGACTCAAAAAACAGTTTGATTCCGGTTTTTAGTGTTTTTTATTTATTTACTATAATTATACAGTAATTTACAGTATATACTGGTATATACCTGTAATTATTTATTTATTTTGTTTGTTTTTTCACTTTAAAAAAAATAATTTTCCGTTTAAAAGCTATTTATTGCATGTATGAGTAAAATGTAAATTATTTTTTTGAAACACATGAAAAATATATATTAAATTTTTTATTTAATAATTTGATTAACAGTTTAGATAATATTATAATATAGCGGCACTTATATGTACTGTAGATAATTGTTTTTTAAAAACTTTTTTTTTTTATTGAAATAACTTTATTGAAAAATTATCATAAAAATCTATTAGTATAGTCACCCAAATTTATTTATTATTATTATTATTATTGTTAATATAATTTTTAATTCAATCATCCATTACATCATATTATTATTATAAAATACATATAATAAAATTATTTTATTATTATTATCATACATTAGATGCTATATTTGTAAATTAAATGGTATTTTTTATTTTATTTTATATCATATATTGTTTGATAAACTAAACTAAATTTATTTATAATTTTTTTACATTATATTACTATAGTATTATATCATAGATTTTACACACAAAAAAAATATAAATAAAATTTTATACACGGTTTTGATTGTTAAAGTTAATTAAAAAATTTTGTAATTATAATTGCATTGTATGTATAAAAAAAATATGTTATAATAATTATTATCTTATTTTTTTATTAAATATATTTGTATTAGTAAATTACAAAAATCATAGTAATATAAGTCATGGAAAAAATCTTAATAATCATCTTAAATAAAATGTGTTAATAATAATAAAATAATATATTATTTAAGCAAAACTAAAATAATATTGTTTATATATTATATAATAATTTTAAAAATAACTAATTTGTTAAACAATTGGTGCCAAACAAATGGATAAACTATTTATTTATATTTATCTACATTTTTGTGGTATTTATTTTTTATTTAAAACTTGAATTATATATATGATATATAATTGCCATTTTAGTAAAAAAATATATATAACTTATCATTAAATCAGATAATCTTTATAATAATATACATAATCTTTATAATAATATACATAATCTATATAATAATAATATAATAGATAAACAAAAATAA